ATTTACATGCAAAAAAAAAAAGGTTTAAAAACTAAGTACATTTAAAAAATATTCACGATGCCTACAAACACAATGAGTGGCTGTCCACAAATAGTTCAAAGAGGTATGTTTTAAGTCCTCTTTTGAAGCTCTGATAAAGTTTGACTTGCGTATGGCAAGTGGCAGTTTGTTCCTAATCTTGTGGCACATATACTAAATGCCCTATAATCATAGGTCTTTGTGAAAGACTTCGGCTGATCTATCTAACCGTGTTGTTAGCGTCGTCGTTCTACAAAATTGTGGCCATCCAGTTAATGATGTACGTATATGCACATGTCTCATACACAAACATTTTAACGAATATCTTTTACAGGGGTAATTTCTTCTTAGCGCGAACGGCCTCTGGTTTATCATCGGCATTCTTCGTTTCAAAGCAAATGAAAATACCTTCCTTCACTTTGGCATCGAACTTTTGATAGCTCAAACCTTGTCGCTGCTCATTCTGCATTTTTCCGCATATAACAACGGTTTTGATTCCTTGCATCTGGAGGAGTGGAGTGCATTCATCGCACGGTGTCTTTGTTACAAACAACGTTCCGTCCGCAAAGTCCTTGGTGTTGCGCAACAGCAAGGCGTTTTGTTCAGCGTGGATCGAATACGGATACTTCTTATCTTTAACACTTGAATCGTGACGAGAAGCCCTTGCAAACTCACCGTACAGCGCCTTCGTCGGGAATCCATTCCAACCGATAGCTACGATTTCATGGTCTTTGTTAATGACCACCGCACCCACTCCTGCAGTAGGCTCGTCTGTCCGCTCGGCTAAGAATTTTGCAAAGGTTATGAAGAAAGAGGCCTGCGAATGATCAAGCTCGTTTTTCGCTGGGTCGAACGAGGTCGTTCCATTCTGGTTTAGGGCCTCAAATTTGTATCCTTTTTCTGAGCCTACAAAAACGTGAGCCATCCATTTAAAGAGGTCATTAAAATCACTCTCGACCTGCTTTTTCATAATTTCGTCGAAAGCTAGCCATGGAAGGTCGTCTTTGGCGCGTGCCATCCAGTTTTCCTCCCAGTAGGTTTTAAATAGCTCTCTCTGTAGCTCCTCTAAAGCCGCTATGGGTGTCTTGGTTTTCTTCTTTTTCTCGCTAGCTTCCACGACTTCCTCTTCCACTCTGGGAACAAACGTGGTTTCACCGATTGCGCTAACTTTAAAAAGATTATCGACACACGACTTTTCGGCTTCAAATTTCTCTTTATCTAGACCTATGTATTCAGGTTCAATTGGCAGATAGAAGACTCTCTTGACTTTAGATTGCACCAGAAGCTTTGTGCAGAAAGAACACGGCTTTCGTGAGACGAACACTTTACAACCTTGAGCCATATTGTGGTGCTTCATCAACAGACGGGTTACACCATGGACGTCGTCGCGTGAACATTCTGCAGCATAAAGGATATCAGGGTCGTCACGCAACACTTCTCACCAATAGCACGGGGGGTGGGGCAACGATGCGTGGTGATCCAACAAACAGCTGCGAGGGAGACCACCTAGAGCTTATTCTGTTTTTTTGTTTTTTGTTTTTTTTTTTACCGCACAGAGATTTGGGATGTCCATTGGACGACTATATATTGGATAATTTGTGTTTGATATCCTGTTCTGAGAGACCGAGACTCTTACTCCGCGGTTCCCTTGTACGCACCTTGGGCAATTTTCAGACGCGACATCCTGTCCAAAAGCAGCTAAAAGTAAACTTGAACATTTTTGAAATGCAAAATACCTTCCAGTAGTAAGCCCTACTCGCGACAATACGCCCCCCCCCCCCGGGAATTTTCAACCCCCCAACGAAGGTTCAAAGCACATACTTAACACAGTTACGAATATATTATTTTTTCTACAAGGCCAAATAAATACTGTATATACCAATTCCATTTTTCGATCGACGTTTGAACGGTCGTTAATAAATTCATATTCCTTTTGTTTTATCCTTAAACCTGAATACGACGTGTCGTCTTGCTAAAATCACTGACAACAGATTTTAACATTTTCTGTCCTGTTTTACAGGAAACGCCTTATCCTAACGACGAGTCACTGCAGAAAAGCCTACAGGACAAAGTCAACTGGGATGCATACCGCCGTAAAACTCTAAAAACGCTGGTCCGGGAACTACCGACGAAACAAAGAAGATTGAAAGATCTTTTGGTGCACAAAAGAACTAAACGCGACATGTCTTTAGGTGAGGACTTGAAAGAAGCCATTAGAAAGATCCAAAGGAAAGATGATGAAACCTGATACACTGATGGCAACGAGGTTATAAAAAATGTAATTAGAAGAATTTCGAGAAACAAAGACCTCAAGAAGATCAATTTTTTTCATAACTTTTAATAACGAGCTTATTTAAATAAAATAAAGAAATAAAATATAAATATCTTAATTGAAGACTCCCCCAATGGGGCTTTTCACCTGGGCTAATGAAACCAAATGATGAAACAAATAATGCAAATTAACATAAGAGGGTTAAAAATCCTAACCGGCAGGAGGCAGACCAGTTGGCTATTTACTATTTACAATTTTTTATTTTCAAATTGTATCAAAATTTGTGGTGCATGATTTTGAAAGTATTTTATTTGTAAACATATTTATAAATAAAACTGTACCTTTTGACCATGTGTGTGACTATTAATAGCACAAATCTTTTCAGTCTTGTGTTATGACTTGTTACGATGTGAAGATAACTACATATATTTTTGGCATTTTGGACACAGCATGTGCTCGCAGCTTCAAAGCCTTGCCAAAACCCCTAAGCCAATTTTCCAATGAAGACTAACTACCAGCTTAGAACAGTTGTTTTGTTTGGCTGTGATAGCCTAAGAGACACTTGGTACTCTTTAGCGGCATGTCAGACTAGTTGCCGAACCATGGTTAGTATTTTGGTGAGGCTAATCATGCCTGATTTGTCGCCGTATTGGTTAATTAAGAATTTTGATAGGGTGAAATGTAAAATCGGCACCGACACCGGCACAAACCTGTTTACAGGCGTTTCATACTACTCTGCCTTGCCTGCCCTGAGGCATTGTAAAGAAAAGGAGCGAATGGTGGCGAAGGAACTGAAATGGAGAAATGAAAAGTAAATTAAACTGATCCTGTCTTATTTTTTGTCGCTTACACTTCACTCCGTGTTAGGCCGGCTTGTGAACTTGCCACGGGGAAAGCATCTAGTATGGCGCTCCATATTAGCTTCGCTCTACGAACGGTTTTAAATGTGTAATCGCCTCTCTCAAGCACTGAAATCACCGTTGATTTCCACGCGCAACCCCAGCACGAGAAAAGCTGCGGCAAAAATTGCACCAAAAATCGTCTGTGTAAATGAGCCTTAAACAACTGAATTCTGTCTAATTTCAGTTCAGTTGCTTCAATGCACGAATCCATTTGTAGCTTGGTAAAGCTTTTTCTTTTGTACTTTGCTTAAAAGAGTTTTTTCTTATAATACTAACCAACGGTGTTTAGCAATACTCCAGTGAACAATTCGTAGAAAACATTTGGAGATGGAACCGAGACAAAACGTACTAGTTACTTCCTCTTAGCTATGATTTCTGTCGAGACAGTTGCTGTAGTAACTAATTTTGAATTGTTTAAAAAATTATTTATTTCTTCAGCGATTAGACTGAATCCTGCTAAACATTTGGTACGTGATGTAAGCCGTATCTTGCGCTCGCGCGCGGACGTCACCCAGTACTTCGAGTATTCCACGCTGATGGACAGCGAAATGCAAAAGACCCAATCTTACACTTTGACTGTTAAATCGGTCTTCCACCTCGAGCGTGCAGTTAATTAACAGATGATTTCCTGAATCAGAGTGTGATCTCATGCAAACTATAAATAAAATTTGGAATATTTAGCTGAGAAATTTTAATAATTTATCCTTCTAAGAGACAATCGGAGCCAGTTTTCCTGCGAAAGAAAAGCTGTATTGACGCTTTTTGCAGTTTATTTTTTCGGGCGCTGTGAGTCAAAACCAACATTGATTTAGTCTCAATTTAACAAATAGACTGGATAAATAATAGCGAACTTGGCCGCGTTGAACTTGATTATTTAATGAAAACCTACGAGCCTGAAAGACGAAAAAACGAAAATATTGCTTTGACAGAATATCAAGTTTTCATTCGTCAAGAAAAATAGATGCCCTTCCCCTGGGTAAACGAGGAGGAATTTGAAAGCATTTTATCTGCCTCCTTCTTCAGAAACGCGCCACCGGACTAGCGCACATCTTGGATTTAAAAATATTGTAATGCTGGGTCAGATTAATGCGGATTAAAAATATGGAGCGGCAACGTTTTGCGCGGGAAATGTACGTCAGCGTGAAAAATGCACAATATAAACTTCTACAAATTTTATTTTGATATTAACTTCATGGCTAAATTTAGCTATTTTTCATTTTTTACAATATATACATTTTACAAACCGAGGACGCAGCTTTCATTCGAAACGCCATTTATATAAAGCTTTGCTCCTCGTAAATAGCTAAAATGATTTAATAAGGAAAAAGCGAAAACGTGATTTACAGGCTGTAATTATCTCTGATTGCTTTCTGGAAAATTCATGAAGGTTACGTAATATAGATGTTTGTTCTTTTCAGTTTTCTCTCTTAGTAGTAACTTGAGAGTAAGTAAACTTGACTTTCAGTCAGAAGTCTTCTCTGTATCTTCTGCAAGGTCAAGGCAAAATTACTAACAGGCTTCAAGGAAACCACGTTCGGCCAAAATTCTTGAAATGTTCGCTGTGTAAGCGAATTAAAGAGTTCCTTTCACGGCGTTTTGTAATTCCCTGTCCGTACTGCACTTTTCCAACCACAGCAGTCAGCTGACGGAATGGCGACGAATCAAGGCATGTCATTGAAACTGAGATGAATACATCATCGTGACTGCCAACGGGGATTCTATCTTCTGTCTCTTGCGGTATTTATTTACAAGATATCCTACAATATTTCACACCATAAGAAAATATCTTTCTCTAGCGGGAAAAGCCATAAAGTTACAGCGGGCACGAAGAAAATATTACCAACTTGTTTGTGCACTATCCACAGGAGTTCGCTTCCTGCGCAACTCAAAGAACAGTTATGTAAAAAAGCTATGAGAGTCCTCTCTTTCTGCGTTGGTATTTAACTATCTGGTACCGAAATAAAACTAGCACCACTGAAAAAGCTGATGATATAGACGAGGATTGAAACGCCTGCTCGGTACGGTAAAGAGATGCGTACAGGTATCAAAAAAGACATAGAAACGCCCCCTAAATTGGCCAACTGAAAAACAAACACAGCTGTCGAGCTTCGCACAGTTCGATGGGCTCGTATTTCTTGATTCAAACCGTCTCCAATGCGGGCCAGTGTCCTTCCAATTTCTCTCACTCTCATTCTTCTAACACGGGCCACATCATATTGGGAATGTTCCGTGGAATCGCTTGAATGTCCCCCCATGAGTGAACTGTAGAGGAGAACCATCCGTTTGTACCAGGGTATAAGTTTTCTGCTGTCGACAAATAAGAAGGAATCGTATAAGCGGCACGAACAAGTTTTTATCGCGTTTGTGAAACGAATTCGAGACTGAACCAGGCGCTGTTGTGATATAATATTCACCCCTGTGTATTTACATTACTGCTCGCACGTATTTGATAAAAACCTATGAAATTTTTATTGCCCTGTTATAGGAAAAACAGATTAAAACGATACAACTCTCGGAAAATCAGGAAAAAACACACTTACGATTTAGTTCGTCACTACTTAAAAATATTGTCAAAGGCAACTGTAGATATCGTAATTTCCGTCCCATGAACAAATTTGGTTTATTTGTATATTCGCACTACATTAGTGAGACGTAATTCTCCTTACAAGGTCATTCGAACCATCGCGTGAAGACTGCCTGGTTGTGCGTGGAATAATTTGATTATCAGTTTGCTGTGTCGTGGAGCAGGTTATTAGGGAATCATAAACAAAATAAATGAGCACGCCTTTCCGAATACGAAGGTCACGTTATCTAAAAATCAACTTAAGTGCGTAGTTCTATTTTTTATTTTAGTTTTTATTGTTACGATTTCAGTTGTGAGTCACAAAACACCGCAGAAACTCGACTAAGTCCTTTTTACATATAGATTTCTCTTAACATAAACAGGATATCTTTTTTGAATAGCCTTAATCGTCTTGGTTCAAGATAACGTGTTAATTTCAGTTTTGTCATACTATACTAACGTGGCGATTTGAAAAGCCAGTCAAATTTGAAAAGCAAAACTTTACAAGCGTATGTTCGCAGTTGTGATGTCCCCGAGGCAATCCAAAAGGAACAAATTAGATTAGAATTTGGGGTGGTAACATTTCAAAAGCATTGTGTCTATAAGTATTAAGGAAGCGTATGTGTTCAGCCTTCTCGTCCTTGGGGAACAAAAAATAGAAATTAAAAAAATACACTTCGACACACCTGTTGGCGATGATTCAGAGCTCTTGATGTCAAACGGACAAACGGGCTTCACTGGGTGTATACTGCCTGGCAAGTTCAAATTGTTTTCCACAGCTAAGAAGTGATACTTCTTCCAATATCAGTGACCTTCACGCGAGTTCTAACGTTTGTCAACTTTTATTGACGGCCAGTGCTAATAAGCTATTGTTTCTTAACGAACGTTTGGCGCCTAACGTGTTGCGAATGAAACAAAAATTTGAAGCTTTGCATCCAATTTATAGCAGAACATACATGCCAAGCGCCACAGAGTCGCCTGCACTTTGTAAACACTCCATGTAACCCTCTTGTGAAACAAAAACACGCGCACGAAACAATTGAACACACTAATCCCTAAACATTGCCAATGCCCGTCTACGAAGCTTATTTGCATGATGTCTGTCACGCTTCCCGACTAGAGCTCTCTAATCATGTTAAGGAAGCGACTAGTAACAAACATTTTCGTACTTTTCCTGTCTAAACTCTTTGAAAATTGTCTCACATCAGTGTATATTAGATTTATAACCAGACTAATTTGATTCGGAACTCCCTTTTGTAGTTTTTGTTGGAAATTTAGTCAGTCATGTGGTTTCCTGGCGCCATTTTGACTATTCTCGCGTGCTGTGCAACGTTTCCGCGATGTGTCGCAGCAGCTTTGCGATGTAACTCTCAAGTATTTACATCCTGTAAAGGTTGCACGTCTTTTTGAATGTTACAAACGGTGTTCGTAAAGCAGTGTTCGTAAACATAAGCATAGATTAGTTTTTCACCTTTTTTATGCCGCACGATGATACTAATTAATGGCTGATAAAATTGATTGACATTGTTTACAAAATTTTGATGACGAAGCAAAAGCATTGCTATAATTGAATTTGTTTTCTTTAACAAGAAGAATCGTTCAACTCGTTTCCGTTGAAAACGAAAAAAAGAGAGCTAACCAAAAAATTGAACTTTGATTCCAACATTTCTCACGTCGTAAGGTGTAAAGCTTTTTCAGTGCTGCATGAATGAATACACGAAGTTTATTCACTATGTGTTTGCTATTTGAAAAATAATTAGGGAAAAAATACAACAGGTGACCTGAGGATTTTTCGAATGTCATTGGATATTTGTGAAACTCTCCGACGGCTTGTAAGTTTTGGAACGGGCCTGTAATCCGTGTCAAATCCGATTTCTTTTCCTCACGTACTGGGCTGGTCCACCAAAAAAATGCAGTTTTATTTAAAGCAGCAATTGATCTTCAAGCAATAAATTATTCATTGAAAACTTAGTGAGTCATCGCAAGGGGTTTTTCCCTTGATGTCGCTGGAATAAAAATGTGCATGAATCAATTGTTTATCAATCGTGTTCCTCTCGTTTTGAGTCGTTCCATAAAACCACTTGACTAGTAAGGAACAGACCCCACAAACTGCACCAAAAATAAATACCTTAACAACGTAAAAACACCAGCTGTCATAGTCAAAAATTATACCTTGTGCAGCTTTTCTCAGAAAGCTCAGATTAACAATCATTCATGTCTCATGGCATGGGCAATGGCTACCTTAAAACGTGATGGCTACGGTTTGTTAAATGAATACTGAAAAATCAAGCATTTTCTTTCGACATTTGTCCCCATGCACGACGAGACTATTTGCCTTCTCAACATAATAATTTAGTTTCCCTGCCTGATTGAGCTTGGAATCGTTTTAACAAGAACATATAATTAAAAATTTTCATGTCATCCCATGGTGGATATAAATTGAAAAAGTCTAATATTAAACGGCAGCTTGTTTGATTTAGTTATAAAAGGGAGTCATTGCTTAACCTTTCGTATAACATCTGCGTTAAATTGAAGCACGAAACACTACGAGAGATCTCTAGTGCGTTGAACTTCTAGGAACGTAGGCAAATAAATTTTTACTTTGAAAGAATAAAAAGTAAATCACATCATTCCCTGATAACTTTGCAATGAGAAGGAATTTATACTTGCAGCGCCAGCCGCCTTGAAAACACACTGAGTTAAACAAACTGATGACGTCTTAGGTCAGCCGCAGCCTTCTGCAGCTCAGTGGACATATTATCTTCCTACAAATAAGGAAAAGTTAATTGCATATTTTGTTGCGAATTCCGTCATGTTGTTGTATTGTTACCCGATGTAATGCTCCATAACGNGTATTTTGGTGAGGCTAATCATGCCTGATTTGTCGCCGTATTGGTTAATTAAGAATTTTGATAGGGTGAAATGTAAAATCGGCACCGACACCGGCACAAACCTGTTTACAGGCGTTTCATACTACTCTGCCTTGCCTGCCCTGAGGCATTGTAAAGAAAAGGAGCGAATGGTGGCGAAGGAACTGAAATGGAGAAATGAAAAGTAAATTAAACTGATCCTGTCTTATTTTTTGTCGCTTACACTTCACTCCGTGTTAGGCCGGCTTGTGAACTTGCCACGGGGAAAGCATCTAGTATGGCGCTCCATATTAGCTTCGCTCTACGAACGGTTTTAAATGTGTAATCGCCTCTCTCAAGCACTGAAATCACCGTTGATTTCCACGCGCAACCCCAGCACGAGAAAAGCTGCGGCAAAAATTGCACCAAAAATCGTCTGTGTAAATGAGCCTTAAACAACTGAATTCTGTCTAATTTCAGTTCAGTTGCTTCAATGCACGAATCCATTTGTAGCTTGGTAAAGCTTTTTCTTTTGTACTTTGCTTAAAAGAGTTTTTTCTTATAATACTAACCAACGGTGTTTAGCAATACTCCAGTGAACAATTCGTAGAAAACATTTGGAGATGGAACCGAGACAAAACGTACTAGTTACTTCCTCTTAGCTATGATTTCTGTCGAGACAGTTGCTGTAGTAACTAATTTTGAATTGTTTAAAAAATTATTTATTTCTTCAGCGATTAGACTGAATCCTGCTAAACATTTGGTACGTGATGTAAGCCGTATCTTGCGCTCGCGCGCGGACGTCACCCAGTACTTCGAGTATTCCACGCTGATGGACAGCGAAATGCAAAAGACCCAATCTTACACTTTGACTGTTAAATCGGTCTTCCACCTCGAGCGTGCAGTTAATTAACAGATGATTTCCTGAATCAGAGTGTGATCTCATGCAAACTATAAATAAAATTTGGAATATTTAGCTGAGAAATTTTAATAATTTATCCTTCTAAGAGACAATCGGAGCCAGTTTTCCTGCGAAAGAAAAGCTGTATTGACGCTTTTTGCAGTTTATTTTTTCGGGCGCTGTGAGTCAAAACCAACATTGATTTAGTCTCAATTTAACAAATAGACTGGATAAATAATAGCGAACTTGGCCGCGTTGAACTTGATTATTTAATGAAAACCTACGAGCCTGAAAGACGAAAAAACGAAAATATTGCTTTGACAGAATATCAAGTTTTCATTCGTCAAGAAAAATAGATGCCCTTCCCCTGGGTAAACGAGGAGGAATTTGAAAGCATTTTATCTGCCTCCTTCTTCAGAAACGCGCCACCGGACTAGCGCACATCTTGGATTTAAAAATATTGTAATGCTGGGTCAGATTAATGCGGATTAAAAATATGGAGCGGCAACGTTTTGCGCGGGAAATGTACGTCAGCGTGAAAAATGCACAATATAAACTTCTACAAATTTTATTTTGATATTAACTTCATGGCTAAATTTAGCTATTTTTCATTTTTTACAATATATACATTTTACAAACCGAGGACGCAGCTTTCATTCGAAACGCCATTTATATAAAGCTTTGCTCCTCGTAAATAGCTAAAATGATTTAATAAGGAAAAAGCGAAAACGTGATTTACAGGCTGTAATTATCTCTGATTGCTTTCTGGAAAATTCATGAAGGTTACGTAATATAGATGTTTGTTCTTTTCAGTTTTCTCTCTTAGTAGTAACTTGAGAGTAAGTAAACTTGACTTTCAGTCAGAAGTCTTCTCTGTATCTTCTGCAAGGTCAAGGCAAAATTACTAACAGGCTTCAAGGAAACCACGTTCGGCCAAAATTCTTGAAATGTTCGCTGTGTAAGCGAATTAAAGAGTTCCTTTCACGGCGTTTTGTAATTCCCTGTCCGTACTGCACTTTTCCAACCACAGCAGTCAGCTGACGGAATGGCGACGAATCAAGGCATGTCATTGAAACTGAGATGAATACATCATCGTGACTGCCAACGGGGATTCTATCTTCTGTCTCTTGCGGTATTTATTTACAAGATATCCTACAATATTTCACACCATAAGAAAATATCTTTCTCTAGCGGGAAAAGCCATAAAGTTACAGCGGGCACGAAGAAAATATTACCAACTTGTTTGTGCACTATCCACAGGAGTTCGCTTCCTGCGCAACTCAAAGAACAGTTATGTAAAAAAGCTATGAGAGTCCTCTCTTTCTGCGTTGGTATTTAACTATCTGGTACCGAAATAAAACTAGCACCACTGAAAAAGCTGATGATATAGACGAGGATTGAAACGCCTGCTCGGTACGGTAAAGAGATGCGTACAGGTATCAAAAAAGACATAGAAACGCCCCCTAAATTGGCCAACTGAAAAACAAACACAGCTGTCGAGCTTCGCACAGTTCGATGGGCTCGTATTTCTTGATTCAAACCGTCTCCAATGCGGGCCAGTGTCCTTCCAATTTCTCTCACTCTCATTCTTCTAACACGGGCCACATCATATTGGGAATGTTCCGTGGAATCGCTTGAATGTCCCCCCATGAGTGAACTGTAGAGGAGAACCATCCGTTTGTACCAGGGTATAAGTTTTCTGCTGTCGACAAATAAGAAGGAATCGTATAAGCGGCACGAACAAGTTTTTATCGCGTTTGTGAAACGAATTCGAGACTGAACCAGGCGCTGTTGTGATATAATATTCACCCCTGTGTATTTACATTACTGCTCGCACGTATTTGATAAAAACCTATGAAATTTTTATTGCCCTGTTATAGGAAAAACAGATTAAAACGATACAACTCTCGGAAAATCAGGAAAAAACACACTTACGATTTAGTTCGTCACTACTTAAAAATATTGTCAAAGGCAACTGTAGATATCGTAATTTCCGTCCCATGAACAAATTTGGTTTATTTGTATATTCGCACTACATTAGTGAGACGTAATTCTCCTTACAAGGTCATTCGAACCATCGCGTGAAGACTGCCTGGTTGTGCGTGGAATAATTTGATTATCAGTTTGCTGTGTCGTGGAGCAGGTTATTAGGGAATCATAAACAAAATAAATGAGCACGCCTTTCCGAATACGAAGGTCACGTTATCTAAAAATCAACTTAAGTGCGTAGTTCTATTTTTTATTTTAGTTTTTATTGTTACGATTTCAGTTGTGAGTCACAAAACACCGCAGAAACTCGACTAAGTCCTTTTTACATATAGATTTCTCTTAACATAAACAGGATATCTTTTTTGAATAGCCTTAATCGTCTTGGTTCAAGATAACGTGTTAATTTCAGTTTTGTCATACTATACTAACGTGGCGATTTGAAAAGCCAGTCAAATTTGAAAAGCAAAACTTTACAAGCGTATGTTCGCAGTTGTGATGTCCCCGAGGCAATCCAAAAGGAACAAATTAGATTAGAATTTGGGGTGGTAACATTTCAAAAGCATTGTGTCTATAAGTATTAAGGAAGCGTATGTGTTCAGCCTTCTCGTCCTTGGGGAACAAAAAATAGAAATTAAAAAAATACACTTCGACACACCTGTTGGCGATGATTCAGAGCTCTTGATGTCAAACGGACAAACGGGCTTCACTGGGTGTATACTGCCTGGCAAGTTCAAATTGTTTTCCACAGCTAAGAAGTGATACTTCTTCCAATATCAGTGACCTTCACGCGAGTTCTAACGTTTGTCAACTTTTATTGACGGCCAGTGCTAATAAGCTATTGTTTCTTAACGAACGTTTGGCGCCTAACGTGTTGCGAATGAAACAAAAATTTGAAGCTTTGCATCCAATTTATAGCAGAACATACATGCCAAGCGCCACAGAGTCGCCTGCACTTTGTAAACACTCCATGTAACCCTCTTGTGAAACAAAAACACGCGCACGAAACAATTGAACACACTAATCCCTAAACATTGCCAATGCCCGTCTACGAAGCTTATTTGCATGATGTCTGTCACGCTTCCCGACTAGAGCTCTCTAATCATGTTAAGGAAGCGACTAGTAACAAACATTTTCGTACTTTTCCTGTCTAAACTCTTTGAAAATTGTCTCACATCAGTGTATATTAGATTTATAACCAGACTAATTTGATTCGGAACTCCCTTTTGTAGTTTTTGTTGGAAATTTAGTCAGTCATGTGGTTTCCTGGCGCCATTTTGACTATTCTCGCGTGCTGTGCAACGTTTCCGCGATGTGTCGCAGCAGCTTTGCGATGTAACTCTCAAGTATTTACATCCTGTAAAGGTTGCACGTCTTTTTGAATGTTACAAACGGTGTTCGTAAAGCAGTGTTCGTAAACATAAGCATAGATTAGTTTTTCACCTTTTTTATGCCGCACGATGATACTAATTAATGGCTGATAAAATTGATTGACATTGTTTACAAAATTTTGATGACGAAGCAAAAGCATTGCTATAATTGAATTTGTTTTCTTTAACAAGAAGAATCGTTCAACTCGTTTCCGTTGAAAACGAAAAAAAGAGAGCTAACCAAAAAATTGAACTTTGATTCCAACATTTCTCACGTCGTAAGGTGTAAAGCTTTTTCAGTGCTGCATGAATGAATACACGAAGTTTATTCACTATGTGTTTGCTATTTGAAAAATAATTAGGGAAAAAATACAACAGGTGACCTGAGGATTTTTCGAATGTCATTGGATATTTGTGAAACTCTCCGACGGCTTGTAAGTTTTGGAACGGGCCTGTAATCCGTGTCAAATCCGATTTCTTTTCCTCACGTACTGGGCTGGTCCACCAAAAAAATGCAGTTTTATTTAAAGCAGCAATTGATCTTCAAGCAATAAATTATTCATTGAAAACTTAGTGAGTCATCGCAAGGGGTTTTTCCCTTGATGTCGCTGGAATAAAAATGTGCATGAATCAATTGTTTATCAATCGTGTTCCTCTCGTTTTGAGTCGTTCCATAAAACCACTTGACTAGTAAGGAACAGACCCCACAAACTGCACCAAAAATAAATACCTTAACAACGTAAAAACACCAGCTGTCATAGTCAAAAATTATACCTTGTGCAGCTTTTCTCAGAAAGCTCAGATTAACAATCATTCATGTCTCATGGCATGGGCAATGGCTACCTTAAAACGTGATGGCTACGGTTTGTTAAATGAATACTGAAAAATCAAGCATTTTCTTTCGACATTTGTCCCCATGCACGACGAGACTATTTGCCTTCTCAACATAATAATTTAGTTTCCCTGCCTGATTGAGCTTGGAATCGTTTTAACAAGAACATATAATTAAAAATTTTCATGTCATCCCATGGTGGATATAAATTGAAAAAGTCTAATATTAAACGGCAGCTTGTTTGATTTAGTTATAAAAGGGAGTCATTGCTTAACCTTTCGTATAACATCTGCGTTAAATTGAAGCACGAAACACTACGAGAGATCTCTAGTGCGTTGAACTTCTAGGAACGTAGGCAAATAAATTTTTACTTTGAAAGAATAAAAAGTAAATCACATCATTCCCTGATAACTTTGCAATGAGAAGGAATTTATACTTGCAGCGCCAGCCGCCTTGAAAACACACTGAGTTAAACAAACTGATGACGTCTTAGGTCAGCCGCAGCCTTCTGCAGCTCAGTGGACATATTATCTTCCTACAAATAAGGAAAAGTTAATTGCATATTTTGTTGCGAATTCCGTCATGTTGTTGTATTGTTACCCGATGTAATGCTCCATAACGATAAGCAATTAACAGTAAGTCTTAGTGAATCTATTTGAAGATCAACTGAAGCAACCTTAACTGGTAATTCTGACGATTTTGTTATCATTGCGCAAGGCAAAACAGAACAATATTTCTGCTATTTTTCAAACTTCTCTTGCTTGTTTTGGCGACATTTAATTATTGTTTCTTAACGTGACATATATTTTAATTTCAATAGTACCTGATAGTACTACTTTACTTTTCACCTAAAATTGGCACAAAACAAAACAAAACAAAACTGACTGCATGAAGGAGAAATTGCAAGTGGGCACGTCGGCTGAGGAATGATCTCAAAGAACAAGGATGTTGTCAAACAACAAGGATGTTGTATTTGTTGTCGGCTTGAGCACACCGCAAAACTTTCATCGTTGGGTGGTCGGATTAATAATCATATCAAAAAGGTTAACAGAAAAGGCTATGGCAAATTTAGGTTTCACTTGCTTCGTCATTGCACAAAAGTATCAACGACTTCTGAACCATGTGATTTTCTCGGTTTTTCTTCAGTCCCTCAGTTCTTTTTTCCTCTAGCTAGGCTGTAAAACCAATCCTTAGGCTTCAAAAGTTTTACATGGATCCTCTTTTTTCAGGTTCTTCGACTTATTTACCGCCAGGGTTTAAAAGAAATTTACTTCGTATTTCTCGTTCGTGCATGAGGAAAACATTTCAATTCCGGTAAGAGTTGCGAGAAGTGGGTTGTAGCACATCAAAAATGCAGCCCACAGCTCCGCCCACGAGATTGGCCAGTCACGGCGAGCTTACTGTGAATAACGATAAATGCGCATGCGTAACATCCTGTCAATGAACATGATGGACAGTTGTCCATGTTGGCCATCGTTGCCAAATTACTATTTGGCTTTCTGTCAAATTAACGTCCTTAACTTAGTTCGAAGCCGACAGCACTGATCACGCACCATTGAGCTTCTAGTCAGTTGCAGTCGTTCAGTCACTCAGTCAAGCCTGAGTGGGAAAAACAGCGATTTTAAGGGAACACCAGCCCTTAATTTCCTGCTATGGCAAAAATTATAAAGGATTGCGACTTACCTCATTTACTAATATCAGCATCCGGCAGCAAATCGCTTGGACCATCTTGCTAGTCTCGTCCTGCTATCGAGTGTGAAAGAAGTGCGAGGCTGATCGAACAACAGCTACATAAATCAAGGCACTGACTGGCAGAATGCCCGCATGTCCATTTTGTTGTCCCACCTAGCGATTCTTCACATCTATTAGACTGTTATTATCTCCCATTAAATACTTTGCATGCTTGATATCAAGAACTTGAACCTTTTTCAGCTATTTCAACTGCCTGATCGCTAGTTTTCTGGTGATAGCTCTTCAGTGGAACGGACCCTCTCTCGGTTGACTTGATCGGTCAGTCGAATGAATGATCAAACTCCGGAGTACTTATTAAAAGACCTATTTAAACTGACCCTTCAGCACGGACTATGGACTTCGAAATATAGCAAACAAATGAGCTTTGCCCGAGAGCCCTGCAACAATTCTTTTTAAGGCAGTTTTTGCTATAGTGGGGTACATTTTTTGGGGGAGTAGCCTTCCAGTAGATCTTGCCGACATCAATCCCTTAATGTCCTCCTCGTAATGCTCAGACTGTTTTGTCCTGTGTTTCACTAGGATACCAAGTCCCGTTATCCAGTTCTCCAAAGCCTCGACCTTATGGGACCCTATGAGGTTATGCTTCTGTCCGACCAACACATTTTATTTTCCATACTTGTTTTTTAGAAGTGGCCCCTAAAATTTAAACCAGTTGTCAGACCTGCCCGCCTGCATGCTAATATATTATAATTATAAATGGCTTCTGGTGATGGTGATTCGTGTTTTATCGTTTAAATCATGATACTTGATCTCTCCTGCTTTTCACCATTTGAAAATTTCGGCTTGAAGATTTAACGGCCATGTGGGGAAAAGAATATATGTATAAATACGCCCAGTCGTAGTGTCCAGACCAAAGATTCTAGTTTAAAGACTAAAATTTGTGACTCATTTTGCGAACAGACAACTCAGACCTACCGGTCTTTCTCATGGGTGGACTGGAAACCAATCAGAACATGAGTTAGTCACATGGACTATCACGTGATCCTGCGTGCAAGGAAGGACGCCATTGCACGAGTTCCCTGAGATTTTTGTCGTGCGCTTGTTAGCTCTTACTTGAACTGGGGAAAATGACTCGTGTTTTCATTGGTAGACTATCGATGAGTGCAAGAGAAAGTGATGTGGAGAGATTCCTTCGAGGTTATGGTAAAGTTAGGGATATAAGCTTGAAGAGAGGCTACGGATTCGTGGTAAGAGGAATACGGATATTGTTGCCTGCTTTCGCTATGGAGTCTTTCTTTTGTGGCCTTCTGTCTTTAACAAGAAAGCTTACATTTTACCTGTAGGAGTTTGACGATTACCGAGATGCTGACGACGCTATTGCAGATTTGAATGGCAAGGAACTGATGGGAGAAAGGTGAGTGAAACTAGTTAACCTGGATATGTAAAATATCAGTTGTAAATGATAATAAATTATTGATCACGAGCCGAGTCCAAGTCCATACAATGCTTACCACAAGCTTATACAGAGATGTATCATGTACGAGTACACATCAACTGTAGCTTCTTATAGTTGACTTCGTTTTCATTAGATTCGACTGCCTTCACAGTGAGGGATACATTATTTCAAAATGTCAATATTCCATGCGTTTCATATTTTCAAGTCTTTGATTCGGGACCGCGCCACAAGCACCCAATTGAGCATTCATGTATCATCGATTTTAATTATTTTGTCTTGAAATTTGCAATGAAAATTGTCAAATTGCAATATGGTGTGTTTTTTTTCCTATTATGTCATGAACATATATTTGTAAGAAGTTAGTTTTACGTCTCTTCTAGTGACTGGAGAGTGTGTTTGTCTTTCTTCCAGTGTTGCATTAGAACTAGCAAGAGGCAAAAGGGTTGGAGGAGGTGGCGGTCGTGGTGGTGGAAGAGGAGGTGGTTACGGAGGGAGAAGACCAGTTTGGCTTGACAAGTATTAATATAGACATATTCTTCTCACCTTTTAATAAGGACACTGGCTCACCTGTTTTCAACATCACTGTAAACACTGCCCCCATATTCTTCATTTTATTCAGCTAACCTATTGAATTGCAGGATATACAGTAGATCATAAGAGGAAGTTTAACAGTGCATTTGTTTGTATATCATGTAAAACAAGCATAGATGAGCTTCCCACAGAGTACAGGGAAAGCCATGATGTGCAGAATGTGCCTGTATTTACAAGGGAGGCACTGTCCTTAGCCATTGTAAATCATGAAATTTAAATTTTACCAAAACCAAAATGTATCAACAGTTACTAGCATACTTTAATATCTTACTGCTCGAGTGTAATACAACTTGAGAAATTGTCATATTCTTAGCTAATTTTTGGTTTTGCCATTTGTACTTTTGTTTGGTACAGTGGAACCTCAATATAATGAAGGGCCAGGGAACTGGCAAAATATGTTTGCATTAATGAGGTTTCACTGTAATGAGGTTTCACTGAAGAATATCATTCATTATACAGAGGGCTTCGTTACAGAGAGGTTTGTTAAATTGAGGTTCCATTGTATTACTATATCCATGGAAGAGTTTGTATTTATACAATTTGTTGTGTTTGTTTTCCCCACTGGGGGTCAAGGTATGGACCTCCGGTAAGGACTCAGTACCGTGTCATCGTTGAGAACATGTCCAGTCGTACAAGTTGGCAGGTAATTACAGTATTATAGTTTATTACTATATAATTTTATACAGTAATCTAGCATTGTAACAGGATTTTCTGGATTTTTACACTTTGTTTGTGAAGCCTTAACTACATGTACCTGTTGTATCCTTTTCCTATACCAATTTGTCAAGTAGATTACAGTACGTTTTATCCTATTAAACCTTGAAATCGAACTTATTTTAATTAATTTTATCTGAATTGTTTTACAATGTCATTAGGGGATATACAAATATAGGAATTATGTATAGCCATTGTTATATAAAGGTACCATCTCAAAACTTGGTTTGAAAATGAGTAGCCACCAAATTTGTCACCTTAAACCACGGCCACAGGTACTACATTGTGTACTTGTAACTTTCCAATAATACATAACACTTTCTTTTAATGTTTTATTCTAATAGACACAATAGCAGAAACCTGGGTAAAACTAAAACTGAAAATTCTCCATGTCAGAGTTGTGTTGTTAAAATTTCATAAGGTTTTTTTTCCAGTGATTGACTTCAGGCAAAAAAGCTCACTAAGAACAGTTTCCCATTCTTTACTTTACCTTTGTTTGTTGACAGGGCGTTAAGGAATAAGCGCTTGATATTCACTAAGCAAAGGGTACAAATGATGTTGGATCTTTCCCTAAACTGAGAGAGGTTCCTTTTGTGTGTCACTGCCTTGCGACAGTTGTGAAAGCTTGCAAATTAACGATGTGAAGTGACTAAATGTGAAATGGGTACAGTGATTGATGAGAAGTCTGCTTGTCAACTCTGAGGCTACTTAACTAAATCTGTGATTTGTGAGAATTTGAAGAGAGGTAAAATATCTTCAGGTAAGAGAGAGAGGAGACAATTGCCTTCCTTTCGGGGTTTGAAATCAGGAAAAGAAAAATTAAAAAAATTATCATCTATCGAACTGCTTGATACAGCTTATGCGTACAAATTATGCAAAATTTTCTACAAGATAGGTACTTGTACATGTACAGCTGCTTTTGTGACGCAGTTTTTACTGATTATTACTTGAGATGGTAAAATTAAAGTTTATTGTTTATGAAATCTGTCAATTTTTGATTCCTTTGCATTTTTTACGAGTAATTACTCTGGTTGTTTAAATTAAATTGAAGATAATCACTACGAACCAGCAGTGTTCAATGCATTGTTGATGTTATTAAACATTTAAAGATATATAAAATAAAATTATTGCATTTGACCACGTTTGCTATATAGTATGTTTCGAGTGTAGTTTTATTTGGTACCTTTCTTTTAGTTTTTAACCATCGTCTTATTTTATTATTACAGGATCTCAAAGACCACCTTCGCCAGGTCAGCAATGCCAAATTGACTTACGCTGATGCACATAAAAAGAGAGTAGGAGAAGGGTGAGATCAATTATTTTTTT